CGATGTCGGGCCAGATCCAAAAGAAAATCCAGCACCAGAAGAGGAGGCACTTGTTCCAAACGAAACCCCTGCACTGGAAAACGATGAACCAGAACCAAATCCAAATAATGGCTTTCCTTCTGTCGTTTTCTTGCGGTTTACGTCAACTCCTGGCTTTGTGCTTGCACACGCTACACATTCCAACTTGTCAATTTGGTTCCTCACCAAACAGGTAGTACAATCCCAGCAATCCGTTTCAGGTTTCCATCCTTTCAGAAGACCCTTGCCGACGCCTTTCTTCCCTTCGTCTCCTTCTCCCCCATCACCATCACTTTGTCCATTAAATCCAAATGAGAACCCTGCCCCACTCGATGTCGGGCAAGATCCAAAAGAAAACCCAGCACCAGAGGAGGAGGCACTTGTTCCAAACGAAAACCCCGTACTGGAAAACGATGAACCAGGACTAAATCCAAACAATGGCTTTCCTTCTGTCGTTTTCTCGCGGTTTACGTCAACTCCTGGCTTTGGGCTTGCACACGCTACACATTCCAACTTCTCACTTTTGTTCGTCACCAAACAGATAGTACACTCCCAGGAATCCTTTTCAGGTTTCCATCTTTCCTCAAAACCATCACTGACACCTTTCCCCCCATCACTTTGTCCATTAAATCCAAATGAGAACCCTGCCCCACTCGATGTCGGGCCAGATCCAAAAGAAAATCCAGCGCCAGAAGAGGAGGCACTTGTTCCTAGCGAAAACCCCGCACTGGAAAACGATGAACCAGAACAAAATCCAAACGATGGCCTTCCTTCTGTCGTTTTCTCGCGGTTTACGTCAACTCCTGGCTTTGGACTTGCACACGCTACACATTCCAACTTCTCACTTTTGTTTCTCACTAAACAGGTATTACACTCCCAGGATCCCTCTTCGGGTTTCCATCCTCCCAGAAGATCCGCACCGAGGCTTGCCTTTTGCCGACTAAATACGAAACCAGTTCGAGAAGGTGAAGAATCTGAGCCAAATGAAAATCCTTGACTAGAAGCTGAAGCAAATCCTCTTCCAGCATCAACACTAGATGCAGGAGATCCAAAAGAAAATCCTGAATTCGATGGAGCACCAGCTGTACCAAACGAAAAAGATGGTGTCCCTCCATTGGCTGGCATTTGTGATGTCTGAGCTCCAGGTTTTGGGGTTGTGCACGCTACACACACTAACTTGTCACTGCCGTTTCTCATCACACAGGTATCACACTCCCATGATCCTTCTTCAGCTTTAAACTTCGGAAAAAGATCATCTTTCACGCCCTCGGCATTGACATTCTCCTTTTGGAGTGGCGGTTTCAATGATGCCTGGTTCTTCAGCATTTCCTGGCATTCTTCAAACTTTTCTTTGAATTTCCTGGCAATGTCTTCGTTCTTAAACCTGACAGCTAGTCGTTCTGCTTTGCATTCTCCCTCGGAGAAGTCTGCATGTGTACTCCAAACCCACGATCTATCTGAGCCTGCATTTGGCTGTAAACTCATGTCAGTGGTTATCTGATGATTCGCACAAAGTTTCAACACCTGATCCCGCCGCATCAGCACTCGCATATTTCTCTATTCTTTTTAGAGCGTTCAATTATCAAATTGTAGACGAAAGAATTGAATGGAATTTGCTTTTTGAGCTTTTGTATCTGAGCTCAAATTTCGCATTACCCGCCCAGGGCGTTATTTCTAACACTCCATCCACATGTTTGTCGATTAAAGTCATTTTCGTTTCGCAAAATGTGTTCTCAATCTAAAATAGCGTGATGCATAATAACTTTGCAGGCTCGTCTTCGTTTAGCTGATGTGGTAGAGAAGGAAGACGTGAATGAAGCTATGCGGCTAATGGAGATGTCAAAGGCTTCCTTGGTTGACGATGAAACTTCAACAAGGTGAGAGAAGTTGTTTTTTTCTGTCTCGTCGTACTTTATCAAGTTTGTCTGCGGCATAGTTTACAGTAGAAGTAATGAAAATAAGACAAAACGTTGAAATGAAATTGTTACTCACCGAGCTGTGTTTACTCTCAGGACTGTAAACCCAGTTGATGCTATTTATGGAATAATAAAGGAAATGGCAGGCGATGCAAGCAATGTAAAGTAAGTCATTTTGTTATACGAATTTCTAATTTTTGGAGCTGCGGATGACGAAAAATGCAATGACGATCATTGCAGTTAAGACACAACTCATGCAGTTTTGAAAAAGAAAGCCTAAAAAAAGCAAGGCAAGCCCGTGCGTGAGTTGCTTATTCGACTGCGATGATCTTCTTTACCCATCCGTTATTTACATCATCATTTTGTTTTAGTAGTGACTGTGGTGTAGCCAAAACAAATTCTCCGACGGTGAACTGATGGACAAGTGGTACATTTAAGCTCATTTTCTCTCGGCTTGCGCTGTCCGCATTTCAGGAGGTTTTCGGGTTACTTTGGCACATGACTAGAAGGCACCTGGCTTTTTAACCCTTTTTTCGCCTTTTAAAATAAGGCGAGGATCTATAGACGATAATGGTTTTGGTTTCAAGTCTGATGGGCTATGAATGGTGCGCTTTGTCTTACTAAACCAAAGTCTGAATTTGATGTCGGATTGTACTCCAAAAGTAACCCCGCGATGTGTTCTTCGAAGAATACGGTATTCCACTCACCTAACTCTGCGAATTAAAATAACTGAGACCTGTTTTTTTTTTTTTTTCTTTTACAGATTTCAAGAGGCACAGCAGCGCTGCATGACAAAGGGTTTCACTCCAGACCAGTTTGAGGCGTGCATGTCGGAGTATGAAGAACTGAACGTGTGGCAAATCAACTCGAACCGGACAAGAATCACTTTTGTGCAGTGAGCCTCAACAGTTCATCTGCAACTTCTTACTGCAGATTAGCGATTCACAAGTGCAAAAAAGGGCGTAAAAATGTTCCTTAAAACAAAACGTTAGGGAAAATAAGCCACATTTTTGCGGAATTTTGTCTCGGGAAACTGGCGAAGTCCGCAATATTTTTCCTTAGAATTGACGCTTTGATACTTTATGTTTGCTTGTCAGTGTAATAGCATATCGTTTTCTTGGCTCCTGAATGTTATCGCTTTTGCTGATTTGGTGAGAGGAGAATAAGACGTTCGGATGCCTTAAGAAGGTTTAAGAAACAAAGGGAGGGCAGTGCTTTCTTTCATTCACTAATAGTGTTTTATTACACGAGAAGATATTTTACTTACACATGTATTAAATTTACGTCCTTTGATCTCTGTAAATATTTTTCATTTAATATTTTGTACGCGTCTGTTTCTATGTAATAAACTTAAAAATAACTAGACAAGTCTTTTTGTCATGTTTACGCATTGGTAAGGCCGCGGGCACACCTATTCATGAATAAATTCGTTTTTTAAAACCCCGTTCTCTTGGCTGTTTTAGAGGCCCCTAAAGCCGCATTAAGTGGTAAATACGGATACGTGATTTTCTGTTTAAGTTAATGGATCCAATGGAATCGGTCAAAAGAGAGGTTTACCTCGTGTACCGGACACAGATGACGTAAAACAAAAGAACAAAAACCATGAAACAATACAAAGCAGATTTACCCTGAACAGGAAGTAAAGAAGTCTTGTTTTGCGTCATCTGTCTCTGGTATGTCATGGCAGAAGTGGATTCTACGATTTAAACTTTACCAGCACTGGACTTGGACTTGCACACACAACACATTACCAATTCCCACTCTTGTTTCTCACTAAGCAGGAACAGGCCGGTGTATCACACTCCCACTGACTCATTCAGGTTGCCATCTTTACAGAAGACCCTTACGACATCTTTCTACCCTTCTCTTTCTTCTCCATCACCACTCTGTCCATTGAATCCAAATGAAAACGCTGCCCCAGTCGATGTCGGGCCAGATCCAAAAGAAAATCCAGCACCAGAAGAGGAGGCACTTGTTCCAAACGAAAACCCTGCACTGGAAAACGATGAACCAGAACCAAATCCAAATAATGGCTTTCCTTCTGTCGTTTTCTTGCGGTTTACGTCAACTCCTGGCTTTGTGCTTGCACACGCTACACATTCCAACTTGTCAATTTGGTTCCTCACCAAACAGGTAGTACAATCCCAGCAATCCGTTTCAGGTTTCCATCCTTTCAGAAGACCCTTGCCGACGCCTTTCTTCCCTTCGTCTCCTTCTCCCCCATCACCATCACTTTGTCCATTAAATCCAAATGAGAACCCTGCCCCACTCGATGTCGGGCAAGATCCAAAAGAAAACCCAGCACCAGAGGAGGAGGCACTTGTTCCAAACGAAAACCCCGTACTGGAAAACGATGAACCAGGACTAAATCCAAACAATGGCTTTCCTTCTGTCGTTTTCTCGCGGTTTACGTCAACTCCTGGCTTTGGGCTTGCACACGCTACACATTCCAACTTCTCACTTTTGTTCGTCACCAAACAGATAGTACACTCCCAGGAATCCTTTTCAGGTTTCCATCTTTCCTCAAAACCATCACTGACACCTTTCCCCCCATCACTTTGTCCATTAAATCCAAATGAGAACCCTGCCCCACTCGATGTCGGGCCAGATCCAAAAGAAAATCCAGCGCCAGAAGAGGAGGCACTTGTTCCTAGCGAAAACCCCGCACTGGAAAACGATGAACCAGAACAAAATCCAAACGATGGCCTTCCTTCTGTCGTTTTCTCGCGGTTTACGTCAACTCCTGGCTTTGGACTTGCACACGCTACACATTCCAACTTCTCACTTTTGTTTCTCACTAAACAGGTATTACACTCCCAGGATCCCTCTTCGGGTTTCCATCCTCCCAGAAGATCCGCACCGAGGCTTGCCTTTTGCCGACTAAATACGAAACCAGTTCGAGAAGGTGAAGAATCTGAGCCAAATGAAAATCCTTGACTAGAAGCTGAAGCAAATCCTCTTCCAGCATCAACACTAGATGCAGGAGATCCAAAAGAAAATCCTGAATTCGATGGAGCACCAGCTGTACCAAACGAAAAAGATGGTGTCCCTCCATTGGCTGGCATTTGTGATGTCTGAGCTCCAGGTTTTGGGGTTGTGCACGCTACACACACTAACTTGTCACTGCCGTTTCTCATCACACAGGTATCACACTCCCATGATCCTTCTTCAGCTTTAAACTTCGGAAAAAGATCATCTTTCACGCCCTCGGCATTGACATTCTCCTTTTGGAGTGGCGGTTTCAATGATGCCTGGTTCTTCAGCATTTCCTGGCATTCTTCAAACTTTTCTTTGAATTTCCTGGCAATGTCTTCGTTCTTAAACCTGACAGCTAGTCGTTCTGCTTTGCATTCTCCCTCGGAGAAGTCTGCATGTGTACTCCAAACCCACGATCTATCTGAGCCTGCATTTGGCTGTAAACTCATGTCAGTGGTTATCTGATGATTCGCACAAAGTTTCAACACCTGATCCCGCCGCATCAGCACTCGCATTTTTCCCGATGTTACATTTCTCAGCAACTTGATATCTCCAATCCCGCGCTCTTTCCACTGCTTCTCCTCTGCGACAAAGCGATACAACTTAGCTCGATGTGAAAACATGACCTGTTCGTCTTCTTCCCCTGTTTTTACGTCAATTTTCTCTGGTAGAGAAATGATTGCTTCGAAGTGTGGTCCATCATGATCACCCTCTTGTTCTTCCTCTTCGTGTGTCTCCCCTCCCAGAGACTGAGAAGCAAAAAGTGTCGATCCAGCTCCAGCAAACCCCTTGGATTTTGTTTTTGCGTTCTGCCCAAATGGGCTGTTTTCGATCGAAGAAGCAGCTACCGACTGAAACGACATTGCAGAGATGCTTGGAGAACCAAAGAGAAATGCTTTTTCCTCACTCGACTTGTCATTTTTGTTTTTTTGGGCAGCCTCACTGCAAAAGTTAGTGTGTAGAATAATTAAAACAAACAAACATTAATAGTGCCCTCCCACGAAGAGTATTATTAACGAGAACAACGATCACCTCATTTATTCAAAGGGACCAAGCGATTCAGTTAAATAGTTGCTGGATGATAATAGACCCACTAAAAATATTGGCCTACACTTTGAACTACTAATTTGTTCGTAAACTAACAGGTGTACAACTTTTCTTCTTGAAATGCTTCTATCTACGATATAACATGGAAACAAGCAGTCACTTTTTAACTGGAAGGACAGTGAAAGATTTTGAAAATTCTACACACTAGATACTGAGTATACCATACTGGAAGGTTGTGCACTGAGTTAATTAGTAAGCATCGTTGCACTGCGTTTCTCGGCCTTGGGAGCGCTTTTTCGGCTTGTGCGTCCCATCTCACTGACTTGTTAGTCTGACAAATCAAATGAAAATCTCTACATTCATTTACTTGTCGTTTGAGCACATAACGCATTACCTTTCTCCACATGATGTCATCTCAACCTTTTCGCCCGCTACAGCATCCGTGTCCTCAGTAAGCACATTCTTCTTCTCTTCATTTCCCGGCTGCTTATTGTCTACATCAGGTGTTTGCTGATCCGTCTGATCATCATCATCATCATCGATGTAGTCTCCAGAAGCTTGCTCTTGAATAGCCGTTTCTAGATGCGTCATTGAACCAAATGTAGTTGCAGTTTCTGAGCTTGAACTTGGAGTCAGGTTCGATGATCCAAAGGAGAAAAACGGTTTTGCACTTCCTTTATTTGTTTCAGTGGAACCAAATACAAATCCTTTTCCATAGCGAGTTGCACCTGATCGAAATGAAAACCCTGTACCAGAAGATGATGCACCTGATCCAAATGTAAAACTTGTCCCAGACGACGTGGATCCAGATCCAAAAATTGGCTTTCCTTCTGACTTTTTATCCTGACTATCCTTTATCCCTGGTTTCGGGCTTGTACACGCTGCACATACTAACTTATCACTGTCGTTTCTCACCATACAGGTATCACACTCCCATGATCCTTCTTCAGCTTTAAACTTCGCAAGAAGGTCTTCTTTCACGTCCTCTGTATTGACAGTCTCCTTTTGGAGTGGCGGTTTCAATGATATCTGGTTCTTCAGCATTTCCTGGCATTCTTCAAACTTTTCTTTGAATTTCCTGGCAATGTCTTCGTTCTTAAACCTAACAGCTAGTCGCTCTGCTTTGCATTCCCCCTCAGAGAAGTCTGCATGTGTACTCCAAACCCACGATCTATCTGAGCCTGCATTTGGCTGTAAACTCATGTCAGTGGTTATCTGATGATTCGCACAAAGTTTCAACACCTGATCCCGCCGCATCAGCACTCGCATTTTTCCCGATGTTACATTTCTCANAGAAAAACGGTTTTGCACTTCCTTTATTTGTTTCAGTGGAACCAAATACAAATCCTTTTCCATAGCGAGTTGCACCTGATCGAAATGAAAACCCTGTACCAGAAGATGATGCACCTGATCCAAATGTAAAACTTGTCCCAGACGACGTGGATCCAGATCCAAAAATTGGCTTTCCTTCTGACTTTTTATCCTGACTATCCTTTATCCCTGGTTTCGGGCTTGTACACGCTGCACATACTAACTTATCACTGTCGTTTCTCACCATACAGGTATCACACTCCCATGATCCTTCTTCAGCTTTAAACTTCGCAAGAAGGTCTTCTTTCACGTCCTCTGTATTGACAGTCTCCTTTTGGAGTGGCGGTTTCAATGATATCTGGTTCTTCAGCATTTCCTGGCATTCTTCAAACTTTTCTTTGAATTTCCTGGCAATGTCTTCGTTCTTAAACCTAACAGCTAGTCGCTCTGCTTTGCATTCCCCCTCAGAGAAGTCTGCATGTGTACTCCAAACCCACGATCTATCTGAGCCTGCATTTGGCTGTAAACTCATGTCAGTGGTTATCTGATGATTCGCACAAAGTTTCAACACCTGATCCCGCCGCATCAGCACTCGCATTTTTCCCGATGTTACATTTCTCAGCAACTTGATATCTCCAATCGCGCGCTCTTTCCACTGCTTCTCCTCTGCGACAAAGCGATACAACTTAGCTCGATGTGAAAACATGACCTGTTCGTCTTCTTCCCCAGTTTTTAGGTCAATCTTTACCGGAAGAGATATAAAGGGCTCGAAATATGGTTCATCAGGGTGATCACCGTCTGCTGCATCTCCATCACTATCATCCTTCGTTGTAGAGGCGGCAAATAATTGAGCCCCAGCACCTTTTAACCCTGGAGACTTGTCAGGCGTCGTCAGGCTGTCAGTCAAAGAGGAAGCGGCTACAGACTGAAAGGACAACGAACCTACGCTGGCAGAGCCAAACAGAAAACCTGATTGGCTTAGTTTGTTCCGTACCGATGTTGCCACTTCTGTGACCTGCTTATGCATCGACTGTTCTTGCTCACTGAGAACAAACATTAAGATGAAATTAATCATGTTGAGGTGGGCGTGCCGTTGAGGAGCACTATATCAGCTTGGAAGCCATTTTCAGCTCAACCCTTCAAACAGCATTCCATCCTTTGTTACATTATAACACGCTCAATATATTTTATATGGTGGGTCAAATTCTATAGAAACAAGTTGAACGCGGTTTAAGGCACATTGTGCGAGTTACAGTTGCCTTACATAGGGATAGAAGCGAGAATCATGGTCAATAGCTGACTGGACTGATCAATGATTTTAAACATCATTTCAAAGTAACAATAACAACGAAGGTGATATCACGTTACAGGTTACTAAGACAAACCATTGACCCCCTGCCTAAGTAACTCCAACGTTTTTTCGCTTGTAACACGTACCGAAGAGACTGTCATTCAAAGATCGGCCTGTCGAGCGATAATGGACGCTCCTCGCAACAAGACTGACTTTAACTAATGTAAACGCTACCATTACCTCAGGAGATAGACGAATGCCTACTATGAGTATTTTTTATTATAGATATTATTATATTATTATTATTGTTATAATTATAATTATTATTATTATTATTATTAAAAACTGCCTCGTCACTACCCACCTTGCTGATATCCCTGCTTGAGCAAATGCCTCCTCCTCATACCCAAAGACGTCTCTCTCCTTTTGATCTTTTTCAACTATTGCTTTGTCAAGATGATTGTCCTTTGCATTTGATGAAGATACCAAATGGTCACTTTTACGTGAAAGAGTCTGTAGAGCCTTGTCAAAAACTTCCTTAAAAATATTGGCAACTTCGTTGCATTTAAACCTTACGGCCAAAGTTTCCGCTGTAGTTGTTTCTTCTGAGAAATCCCCAAGTGTTGTCCACAACCAGGCTCTCTCAGATTTTGGAAACGGTTTAAGTTGCATTTCTGAGGTTATCACATGATTTGCACAAATTTTGAACACATGATCACGTCTCATTAGGATTCGATGCCTCTTAGAACTTGGGTTAAGAAGAATTTTGATGTCACCAACTCCTCGTTCTTTCCACTGAGACGTGTCACTGTCGTATCGAAACAGTTTACAACGTTCACAAAACAGAACCTCCTGCCCCTCCTCCCCCGTGCGACATTCAGCTTTGTCAGGGAGTGGTATGAGAGGCTCGAAATATGGAACAGGACTCGTTGGAGTACTTTGTGACAATGGAGATCTTGGCTTTTGTGGCGGAGATCCAGGCGAAACTGTCATCCTAAATGTGAAATTGCATGGAGCACCTGTACCAAACGGAAGACCTGTCAACAGAGTACCTTGGGAGTCTTGGGTTGAGGGTTGTGGTGTTATTATCCTCTTCTTGCTCGGAGAAAACGTCTTGCTTGGAGACAGGTCAATTTCATCGTCACTAGTATCTTTATCTACACTTGATTCTCCTCGCCCAATGGTGAAAAGCTTTGAAGTATGTAGGCCCTTCTCTCCTGGAGGGTGGAAGAAGAAAGAAATTGAAGCTTCTTTATTCAAGTTTTGGAATGTTTTAGGTTTCACCGAATCAACAGCAGACACATTTGCTGTAGCTGTTTCTTCTCCATGTTTGGATGGTGGTTCAGTTTCTCCGTCGTTTGGTTTTAGGGAGTTACATGCCACGCATACCGAATCCCCAGCCTTATTTTCAACATAGCACACCTCACAAGACCATGTGCCAGGTGCATGAGCAAAATTTGAAAGAAACTGTTTATAAAGTTCGCAACCCGTCGCCTTTTGATGTTCAGCAGGCGCCTTTTCCGGGGAATGATCTGACGAAAGTGGTTCCTTCAGTTCATCAAACACCTGTTTAAACTTTCCAGCCGTTTCCGCAGTCTTAAACTTGATGGCTAGTTTTTCCGGCTTTCCCTCACCTTCAGAATAATCCGCAGAAGTATACCAGACCCAAGAACGATTTGATCCAACATTGGGTTTGAGCTCCATTTCAGCAGTAATGTTATGGTTAGCACACAATTTCTTGATTTGCTCTCTCCTCATGAGAACTCTTCCTCGCCCTGAAGTTGGATGACGTAATAGCTTCACTTCTCCAATGCCCCTTTCTTTCCACTGCGACGAGTCACCATCAAACCGATACAGCTTTGCCCTCTCGGAAAACATCATCTCCAGACCTTCTTCTCCTGTGCGAACTTGGATTTCTTCAGGGAGAGGAATGACTGGCTCAAAATTAGATTTACCATCATCGTCCCCTTGAACAAGACTCGTTGGAAACGTGTGTGACAGTGGAGATCTTGGCTTTTGTGGCGCAGATCCAGGCCAAATTGTCATCCTAAATGTGAAATCGAATGGAGCACCTGACCCAAACGGAAGACCTGTCAACAGGTTACCTTGGGAGTCTCGAGTTGAGGGTTGTGGTGTTATTATCCCCTTCTTGCTAGGAGAAGACGTCTTACTTGGAGACAGGTCAATCTCATCGTCTCTAGTATCTTTATCTACACTTGATTCTCCTCGCCCAATGGTGAAAAGCTTTGAAGTATTCAGGCCCTTCCCTCCCAGAGACTGCAAGAAGAAGGAAGTCGGAGCGTCTTTATTCACGTTTTGGAATGTGTTTGGTTCCACCGAATCAACAACAGACACATTCGTTGCAGCTGCTTCTTCTCCATGTTTGGATGGTGGTTCAGTCTCTCCGTTGTTTGGTTTTAGGGAGTTACATGCCACGCATGCCGAACCCCCAGCCTTATTTTCAACATAGCACACCTCACAAGCCCATGTGCCAGGTGCAGGAGTAAAATTTGAAAGAAACTGTTTATAAAGTTCGCAACCCGTCGCCTTTTGATGTTCAGCAGGCGCCTTTTCCGGGGAATGACCTGACGAAAGTGGTTCCTTCAGTTCATCAAACACCTGTTTAAACTTTCCAGCCGTTTCCGCAGTCTTAAACTTGATGGCTAGTTTTTCCGGCTTTCCCTCACCTTCAGAATAATCCGCAGAAGTATACCAGACCCAAGAACGATTTGATCCAACATTGGGTTTGAGCTCCATTTCAGCAGTAATGTTATGGTTAGCACACAATTTCTTGATTTGCTCTCTCCTCATAAGAACTCTTCCTCGCCCTGAAGTTGGATGACGTAATAGCTTCACTTCTCCAATGCCCCTTTCTTTCCACTGCGACGAGTCACCATCAAACCGATACAGCTTTGCTCTGTCAGAAAACGTCACCTCCAGACCTTCTTCTCCTGTGACAACTTGGATTTCTTCAGGCAGAGGAATAACTGGTTCGAAATGCAACTTATCGCTATCTTGTTCCTCGACCTCCTTAGCAGGTTCAGCGAAAAGCTGCTGACCTGCTCCTTGAAATGGTTTATGGCTTGTCTTCGTTTGTGACTGAGAAAATGCAATTCTATCTTGAGCTTTAAACGATGATAACGTCAGTCGGCCAAAGTTAGCTGACTGTCCAAATACATGACTCGTCGCTGTGTTTGTGAAAACCGCTGAAGTAGCAGACGTACTGACTTGTTTAATGTCCTTAACCTCCTGTTTAATGGTATCGGCTGCTCTTTTTGGTATACCACGACAACCAATACACCCAGTGCAAGGCTCACGTTTGGTATAATTGTAGAAATTTGGTGGAAGGAAAAGTCGACTCGCTATTTCTCGGTCTACTATTGGGGTACGCCTTTCATAGATCAAAATGCAATCTTGGTCTTGTTTCGTTGCTCCCTTTATAGGACTTTTGCTCATAAATGGATGCCCATCAATCGTATCATTTGGATGGGCATGTTTGAAATTCGCCTGAGCTTGTACAAATGATTGCTGTGTTTGTTGAAACTGAACAACTGGAGTTGGTTCAGACTCCACGGAATCCTCACCGTTTGTAGAGTTGCAACTAAATTGCTCGTATTTGCACGCTTCCGAGCTATCCGTTACAGCTTGGATTTTCTCAGGACGAGGGTTGGCTGCTTTTACCCTTGGTTCCTCATCAACTTCTTCCTTGACTTTGTCACTCAGATTTGCTAACTCGAACATTGAACCATTTGAGGGTGTTTCTTTGTTGATCTTCGTCTGTTGTACTTTCCCTTCTGTGTAAGGCGATGAACGGTAAAGCATATCTTCGGCGTCGGAAAGCTTATCAAGAATCATCTTTATTTGAGCCTGAAAACCCTCTTGTATCACGCTGATTAATTCCTAGAATTTCATGTCCAAAGAGAAAACATTTATATGAGAGAATAAAGTTCCTATCAGAGCAAAGCCTTGATTTAGGGGCTAGGGGGCATAAGCTTAGTAGGAATGAAAATGAAACTGGAAGCGTACTTTCGTCTCTAAATAAACGGCAGAGGGATCACTGATCTACAACTGATGCTTGTTCACGCTTCACTAAACTCTGAACTCGATCACGCTTACAACACCTACATGCATTAAATGTTAAAAAGTGGTTTCAATAGAAAGTCTAGACAGAAACCACTGACTGAAGTTTTGCAGCCTGCTTATTAGTGCTCCCACAGCAGGTTGGATTCATTCTTAGTAACCTTACTCTTACCCATTCGTCACGTTATACCGGGATAAAAATTAAATCCGACAGCCTGACGAAAAAAAGGTAAGTGACAGTGGCCGCCTGAATAAGTGGCTACTGTAGATTACTAGAGCGTTAGTTTGACAGACAGTTAAAGAAGAGAAAGTAATCAACAATTAAAGATTTACCTTAAAACTTTCAAACCGGTTGGGCATGTCCTCGTTGTGCATTTCAGCATCCGCGTTTGAAATCAGTGCCTCCAGTCTTTCTAAGCCGCATATGTTCTTGTTTCTCTCCGCCACAAAAAGACGCTATGGTTGAAAGGATAACCATCAGAGCAATTCCTCTTCAAAGGTTGAAGCGTTAAATGAGGGTGATGTTCAACACGTATAACAGAAGACTGAATTTCATCTAAGGACGTTTGTCATAGCTAATTGATTAAAGTAAATAAAATCTTTGCCGCAGCCATGGCCCCGGATATTTAAAGCCACTTCTTCCCTACAGCAAGACTTACGTTAAGCTTTCTCGCGGATTTCATTAAGGGGACTAAGCAAGTACTGACCTGCCACAATATTAAAAAATATATATATTCTCTACCTTGATAGCCACTTGTCCACTGTCAGTGAAGTTATAATTGTGTGAGTTGAGACTGCCCAGTAGCGAAGAAAAGGTTAAAGCTGGGCACACATTAAAAGATAAATTTCTGATGGCTGCTTTGGAGATATATTTGCCGAGTAATTAAGAGCTAATGTGTTCACAAGGGTGTCCGCTTTAATTAGCCTAATACCTTATACTCCTCTGCTTGAAGAGTCATGGACTTTAGTTCCTCAGATAACTGAATCTCGGCCAGCTCTTTGTCAAGCACCTGCAAAGATTTTAAATATTCAAGTTTCGTACTCAGATCTAAAACACCACCGGTTAGGATACACAAGCTTGCTCTGACCGGCAACGAGACGCTGGTTTTACTAATGTTACACAAACTGGTACATATCAATAGTTGAAAAAACCGTAGAATTGTAAGCCGGAAAAAAAGAACCCGATTGTCTAGTCACGGGGTTTGAGTCCTTGGACTTTTATGACTAACGTGCTTTGTACTTCTACCAACTACGCCAAACAATTAGAGAATGGCTACCTCTTTTTTCGTCTCTAATAGCTCCTTCTTCGTTTTTGTCAAGGCACTCTCCGTAGTAAGCACTCTTTCTTCAAGTTTCTTCTGTTCCTCATGAAGAATATCTAAACCGTGTAGGACATTACAGTTAAAAATTACAAAAATGTTGGTTAATGGCCCCAGCTCGTACAATTAATTACTCATGGCTAAGACAGTTCACACTATACCTTACCAGACAGCTTTTGCGCCGGCGCGAAAACCATACCCGGATAGGGCTTCTGTTCAAATAAGAACGGTGATTTCGGCGGTTTTCGCGCGGTTTTCGGTCTCGGTCAAGTCTTAAAAAGTGACCCGCGGTTTCACCGCTCGTGTCTTCGGCCTCCGGCCGAACACGAGTCGGCTTCCGGCAAAGGAAACGAAGCTCCCCGTCGAACGCGAGAAAAAACCTCTGGTACCCAGGGTAAGCTGCACTACGCCAATCTCTAAAATGGAGAGTCACATATCGGATATGTGTCCACATTATACCGGATTGCTATCCGGAATACAGCTGGGAATAGCGTGAACATAACCTCATGATCAGTTATAAGAACGTCTAACTTTGGATAGGGGCTAAGTTGGACGAAAGGTTAGCTCAGTAACACCCTTTTTTTGACACGTTCTGCTGTACGTGGTATTAATGTTAAATTCCATCAACTTACGGGATTTCCTAGAATTAAATCAAACAAGATCAGACTATGTTGGCAAGTTCCTAAACATTAGGTTCCATGTTCGCATAATATGAACTATTCACGCTAATCAGACCATTCAAAAAAGAAAAAAAAGTTTTATGTCTGCTCTAATCGTCTGCCTGTGGCCTGGGCGGCTATTAACACCTGGGCTTAACTGCAAACACTGCCACTTTAAAGCAACCTCTAAAAATAGGCGGATATGCGATACGTGGATACTCAGTCACTACGTATCTGCGTATCCGATCCACATATCCAGCTCTTTCAAGGATACTGCTTTGAAGTGGCGGGGTATTCTGCTGTTACTCCAACACTTAATTGTCGTGAGTGGCGAGCCACAGGGCCCTCTGCTCATCTCTTGTATTTTTTTCTTCTGGTTTATGAAGACTACCGGTAGCGCGCCACCGGACACTGATTTTAGTCAAACTCCTTGGAATTCATTCTTTGCTCCTTACCAGTACATCTATAGTTATAAACTGGCTTACCTATTTGGGACTTGTACACCTGCAACTGGGTCTCCAAATGAACGACTTTCTTCTGAAGTGATTTTTCTCTTGCGGTAAGAAAGTGTTCTGAGATGTTTTGGTGCCCACTCATGTTGTCAACAAACGTATCTATATCGACAAAATCCGGTAAAAAGCTTAGCATACTGAATAGACCTCTTTATCTTTATATTTTTTTTTCCAATGCCTGTCAAATGGGAGCTTAAGCAACAACCAGGGTGACGGCTACGAAAACGTCACTTAATTCTCACGCTTAATGCATGTCGTTTAATTCGTAACATGTTAGCAAATCTTGTGGTGTTGAATACTAAAAGACTGTATCGAAGTTGAGGAAAAGAAAAAGAAAGTCGTTGTCTTGTGCCTCCTCTCCCCCCACAAAACGTGAAATTAGGAACTTTCACCTCGAAGTCGTGAGGTGATGGCAAAGAAATGTACAAAAAAGCTAGCCTGTGAACAGGCTCTCTGTTTGGGGAAAAAATAAAAAAAATATTTCTTCTTTGACGTTTTCGTTGCAGTCGCCGTCGTCCTTGCTGGGACTTTTTATTGGGAAACCAAAACAAACAATTAGCCGGAAGTTGAGTCACTGTATACCCTCGAATGATACCCACCCCTCGAATAACCGCTTTCCCTCGGTTAGCCTGCGTAGCAGGCGAAGGGAGAAAGTTTAAGGACGCGCGCGCAGGAGGCGAGAAAAGGAGAGGATCGGTTGTTCACCATTTACCACAAATTTCCAGAAATTCCGCTTGGGATGTAAATGGTAAACGATTTTTTGGTTCGTCCCACTGGAAAATTCCCTGGACAAACGGAAATTTTGAAAAGGTAGTCCCGTTTTCCCGATTAGGACGTTCCGAATGGAAATTCGTTTACCATTTACAAGGTTCTTGAGTTTCGTAACCAGTTTCATGCTGTAACTAGAATCCAGTCTAGCGCGGTGCGACAATCAGGAAATTTTAAGCAAATGGTAAACGACATTTACCGTTCTTACCGACCGAAAATTCCCAGCCAAAATTTCCGGAATTTTTTTTATAAATGGTAAACAACCAATATGCCTCCTCTCCCCTTCTAGCTAGTGTTCCCCTTGCGCGCTCGTTAAATCCCACGCAGGCTAATCACCGCGTCCTTTGAATAAGCGCCCCTCCCCTCCGCGCTTTGCCGGTCCGGGGGCGTTCGCTCCAAGATCCAACGACGCGAACGGCAACGAGAACGTCAAATAAACCATAGGTTTTATGAGCAAAACAACAACTTTGCACGTGCAACATGCTTTTTTGTACATTTCTCCGCCCGTTTTTGCAGGACCACGACGTGAAAATGCCTAATTCCGCGTTTTATGGAGGACGTAAACAAGCGACGACGAAATTCAGTTTCTCTTTCCGTGCTTGGAGAATTCAACTCCAGGAGGGTTCGCCTTCATTTGACAAAGTGACTGGGTAGGAATAATTGGGATAAAGACTGAAAGAACGCAAACTCACTTTTTAAGCGACATTCTCATTGCCGTCGCGTCGTTGGATCTTAAAGTCCCTGCTCGTTCCGCTGCCTCCGACTCGAGTGTAGATGAATTCAGTTCTAAAAATATAAACAAATGACAGCAGGAAGACATATACGAAAAATAACAATTCCGACCACATTCAGGATGACTCAGCTCCCTACCATATAAAGACACTGTGCTATAAACATTTCATCTACCAAAAAGGGAGAGCGAGCCGCCGGAAGGAAGCCTCTTACAAGATAAGAGGACATCAAAATCAGCTGCAACATGATAGAAACTGTCTCGGCAGCTAGCGGGGTTGAGGCTTACAGAACACAGTATTCAAAGACGTAAATTTTATCGACAGTAAACAAAAACTAAGCTTGAAAACAGCATAATACATATAAAAAAAGATAATTCTTACCTTATTGAAATTGGCATCATCAACTTTGCATGAACAGGCACGAAAGCTGCAGCTTTTTTCCGCGAAAAACCGGAAGTCAGAGAAAAGCAAAAAATGTCACCGGACAGCGGTTTTTTATTCAAAATCATGCGTCAAGTCAAAATTATCTTTCGCGGTCTTCGTTTTGAGAGTTTTCGAAATATGAAATGCTAGTAAAATTGAAGCACATTGCCTGTTGAATTGAGATCCCGTCGTTTTGGCTTCAAGCTTTACATTCTCCACAAACCTTTGAAATGGTTTGGACCAAGGACGAAGTCGATAAGTACGTGGTTCAGGTTGAACGAAATTGCAAAAGTACGCACGAGGTGAGCTTAGTTAAGCATATTTCATTCATTGCTCATCGGAGAAATCTCTTTGCATTCATTTCTATATTGACCTTTCCTGAATTGCAGCGTAACCTGAAAGGGTTTGCCTTTGCCAGACTGTACCGAGAAGCTTCTGACAATGAGACTGCAAAACGGTAAGTTTATGTTTGTAATTGTTAACGTTGCATTTTGCGTGCCCTTTCCTGTTCGTTCGACTTCACACTGTCCGTTGCAGTTTCTTCGTTTGTAAGACTTGTGTTTGATGTTAATCGAAATGAACGCAGTTTAAACTTTTAAAGTGCTATTTTACCTATTCTCTCCTGTTTACTATCAAGCTTGGCCCTCGTGTTTAAACTTGTCAAAGTTCTTCTGGTCGGACTACAGTCTATAATTTAACTTCGATTTTTTTCATATACTTGTACATGACTTAAGACATTTTTGATTACAAATTAATCAAAAAGTTTATAGAGTGTTATTTTGCCTAACTGAAATAAAATATGACAGCGATTTCATTCTATTTTGCATTGTGCCGGTAAATATAATTCTAGGATGGCCTGTTATACAATGTAGGCTGCTAAAATATTTTAGGGCTCCTCCCCCAAAAATCAGGGCAAAGTACTGTATTTGAACTTTCTACAGTGATCTGTCTTATTGCAGAGAGGAAGCTACAATCGGCGACAAAATTGTTGAGACATTGTACTGAAATAGGGTGACTTCGGAGAACAAAAGAATCCCCACCCCTCCCCTGTCCCCTCCATTCAAAGTTGGGGTGTTTGTTGTTTTCTATAGGTAGCTAGAACAAGGGCACAACATTGCACGGAGGGGATGGGGGAGGAAAGCTATATTTCCTCCTTTTGAAGTTCATAAAACGTAAAAAAGCCCACTTTTGGGCGAAGTGTCTCAACTCATTTTGTCGCNCAATCGGCGACAAAATTGTTGAGACATTGTACTGAAATAGGGTGACTTCGGAGAACAAAAGAATCCCCACCCCTCCCCTGTCCCCTCCATTCAAAGTTGGGGTGTTTGTTGTTTTCTATAGGTAGCTAGAACAAGGGCACAACATTGCACGGAGGGGATGGGGGAGGAAAGCTATATTTCCTCCTTTTGAAGTTCATAAAACGTAAAAAAGCCCACTTTTGGGCGAAGTGTCTCAACTCATTTTGTCGCTGATTGTCTGAACCGAAATCTTTGCGCTGTTGTCCTATTAGCACCGGTTAGGAGACAATAACTAGTTGAGATTACTATATTCACCTTGTCGTTTTTCAGAAGATAGATAAGATACCCATATAATCCGTTTCCTGTGTTTTTCGCGGGAAAATTAGTTTTGACAATCTTTGTACTCGGTAGTGATATCGAGTAATTACGCAGCATACCCACGTACAGAATGATTGATTTTCCTCTGGTAACTAAGTGTGATCGGTAGGAACCGATGGCAGATAATATATTGTATTTGAATATATCCCTAGTAAGTTGGAAGTGTTTATTCGAAGTTTGGCTATTTGATAAGGGTGGGATGGACGATAAAATAGCCATGATTGCTATGCGCAGGAGAATGTTCAGGAAAAATGTTCCAACTTCTAATGCACAACTAAGCTGCATAGCATCATTAAATCTGTGCAGCAGATTCGTTGCCCATATACCCAGAAGGGTCTTTGAAGAATGTA